TTGAACATACATTTTGTTTATGCTTAAAGGGCTCAGGGGTGCAAAAAACATGCAAAAATAGGGTTTATTCCTTTAAGAACTGAAAAAAAAAATGGGTCTTGTGGCCATTATAACAAGGATTTTAATGATCATTATTATTGTTATTAGTTAGAGGGAAAAGGGTGTGATGGCCTCTTAAGGATTTTTCTGAAATGAAAGATTCCTGTTTGACTCACCAACTGTTTTTTAGTCCTCTTTTGGCAATGAAACACACCCTGTTTCTTTCCACTGAAGTATCAGTTAGTTCTAGTTGCCTGTGACTTGCCTGTTAGCAAGTATGAAAACAAAACCCTTTTACCATCCTAGAGCTTGGGCTGGAATGTAGGGGAACAGCAAACAAAGCATTCATCCAGTCCCACAGGTTTTAGAAAAAGCTGCACTAATGCCAAACTTTCTGTTGCCAGTAAGTCCTTCGTGTAAGAAATACTGGTAGGAGTGTGAGGTTATTATGGAGGCCTTGGGTTGGGTACCTAATGAAAAGCTGTGGGCTCAATTTCAAACTGCAAAGCCCTTTTTTTGGTGTTTTTTTGTGAATCTTTCTTAAAGAAACCTCAGCTGTACTAACATTGAGAATCCCTACCCAAACCTATTTTGGCAGAACTGCCAAGCAGAAGACCAGAGTGCCTGGAAAGACACTTCTTAACTCTTCCCTAAATCAGCTCCTTTGCAGCATCTAGAATATCTGACCCTCAGAATAAAACATTCTTGCAGCCAGTTGCTTCAAGTATTCCTGCTGGAGAACCTCAGACAGGGAGAGGGGATTTCAGTCCTGCTATGGATTCCAGCTCCAGCCAGGTGCATTTACTACAGCTTCTTATCCTTGGAAAGTGATGGTGGCTCTGCAGGTACAGCAAGAGGGTGATGTGCCAGACCTGGACATACCAGGTCAGGATTGATTTCTTCAGTTCTCCAGCCTTTCTTGGAGAGAACCCAGAAGGATTTCAGAAAGCCCCAACCAGCATGGATTTTGCTAATCACACAATATTCTGAGTTGGAAGTGACCCACAAGGATCAGTGAGTCCAACTCTTAAGTGAATGGCCTGTGCAGTGGTTGAACCCACAACCTTGGTGTTACTAGCACCATGTTCTAACAACAATGATGATGTCAAATCACTGAATCATTAAAGCTGGAAGAGATCTTCAAGATCATCTAGCCCAGACATAAACCCAGCAGCATCATAACCACCCTTAAAGCAATAAGTCGAGTGCAACATCCAGACACCTGTTGAACAGAAATATACTGCACCTAAACTTACTCTTTGCATTATTAGACTTGACTGAATTTCGGTTTCACTACACACTTGGCCCATCTGCCCTCAAAGAAATTCAGCTATACCTGTTCTTCAGGGGCAGATGCTGATCTGATGAGGATTGAGTTGGTTTAGACTGCATTATTCTCCCACTTCGGGGTGTGTTCTTTTTATGCCTTCTGTCCTAGAGGTGCTCCACTCAAGCTTACACGACCCCAGTTGCTGCCCAGAGCTAAAGCCTTTTTCCAGGCTTAAAGAAATGGCAGTCTGGTGAAGCAGCCAGGACTACATAGATTGCCAGTACAATGGCAGGGGAAATTAGTCCCTCTTTCTCTTGCATCCAGGTTTCCTATGTGATTCATTTTAATGGGAAATTAAACTTCCCTCGTTCTGATAGATTCACAGCAGCTGATCCTCAGCTTTTACAGAACAGTCAGGGCAAATCTTTTGAAGGTCAAAAGGCATTTCTGGCATCATACAGTCACTCCCTCATGTGCTAATAGATCTATCTGTGACAACAATTTATGTGTTGCAGGCCATTAATACTGTTCACATTGGTCTCAGCTCAGCACTGGCCTCTGCGGCCAGAGAACGTCACAGAGAGGGACTGAGCTGAGGTGTCAAGTTGTTCCGGATTTTATAAGTGAAAACGATGGCGTCTTGCATCTAAAAACTGCAGAGCATGTTACACCCATCAGTTAACATGGAATTGGATCAAGGAAAGGTCTTGGCAAGAGCTTTCTTTGCTCACAAACCAAGACCCTCTCAGTCGCTGCCTAAACTTACTACACGTTTTGCATCATCAAGGAAGAGAAACACAGCTTGCCCTAAAAGGGAAGGTCTAGACCCCTCCTCCAACTGTGCCCTAAATCTGAGACTGTTATTTGTGTTGTTGTTGGTCCATGACCCCACAACTTCACGTTTCATTTGTGCAGCAAAATTTCTTCATGAGGGGGATTGGAGAGAAACCACCCTCCATTACCTGCTTTCTGTCGGGATCCTCAGTGAGGTTTTGCAGAGTTTGAAACTCTTCCAGTCACCTGAGGCTGAGACAGACTGAGCAACCAACTATTAACTTCTAATTAATAACCTAACAGCTCTTCATTAATAAGCTAATTAGCACAGAAGACTCTGCTGCTGGCTCCAGAAGACATAGCTGGGCTGGGAGCCCACCTGCAAGGGGCCAAACCCTTCTCTTGAGCCCCAGGGGCTGATTACAGCAGCCACCCACCTGTCCCTCGTTAACTCCAGTAACCTCCACAGCACCCAAGGCTGGGATGAGCTGGGATTCACCTCAGGTGTGCCAAGCCAAGCAGGCCGTTTCCCAGGTGAGCGCCTGGGTGGGGGCAGCTGCCCTCAGGCTGGGGCGCCATTTTGTGCCGGGGTTTGGCAGCAGCCCGGGGAGGGTTAACCCCTGGGAACTGCTGATTACCCCTCCAGGATTGGTCAATCACCCCTCCAGGGATCATTAATTATCCCTTTCGGGGAGCAAACAAGAGTAGCTGTGAGTGGAGACCAAGGAAGGGGAACAGGCTTTGTGGAACTGGAGATACAAGGTTAGTTTGGTGTTTTTGTTTGTTTGTTTGTTTTCAAAAGCACTTTTTATTTTTTAAATCATTGTTAGAGGGCCATTGCTGTTTCTGGAGGCAAAGGGCTGTGGTATGTGGCTTCTTTTACTGTGAAGGCCCCTCACTGAGGCCGGTCGTGCCCTGTGCCTGGCTGTGCTGCCTGGCCCCTCACAGTGAGGGGGGACGCCATGGTGGCAGGGATGGCTGCGTTCCTTGTGCCTGTGGGAGCGTTGGGAACACCCCAAACTCCTTGTTTCCTTCTCTGCCCCTGAGGTGGGGTGGCCCCAATGGCCAGGCTGTGTCTTGTACAGAAATTATTCGCTCTTGTTGGCTCAAGCCTCGTGTTGCTGCGTGCGTTAGCTTGGAGTGAATCATCTACCCCATGACTTGGCTCTTATTTTTCAAAACGAGTCCCTTTCCTGTGGAACAGGATGCAGATATGCCTTTGTTTCTTTCAGCCACCACCTATTTCTGGTTGGTCTGGTAACTAGCTCAGCTGTTTGGCCCCTGTTTGTGGGGTTAAGAGAGTGTCCAAATTCCAGTGGCCCCATATGAAGGCTGTGCACGCTGTGGTACAGCTGGTGCTGTTTTCTGTGGGATATGACCTATAATCCCCCCACAGCCTGGTTTATAAACTTCCTAGGTGATCCTCTTGAGGCTGGGACTTACACTTGGTGGGAAGCTGGCTCCCTGAAGTGGCAATGGGAGGTGGTCACTTACTTATTTTTAATCATAAAGAGCTGTTAAATTTTTCTTTTTTATGCTGCTAAGTTGGCTTTCTGCCTTAAAAAAGGATGAAAAAGAAAGCAACCTACCTGCTTTATGGTTTTTTGTCTAAGTGGTGAACCTTTTGTGGTTATATGGAACATTATTATTGCTACTGGTAGTTCCTGCTGAGTTTTGTTCAGATTCTAATCCATCTTGAGAATTTATAGTCGTGTAATGGAGGCACTGGAACAGAGTTACTGCTGCATGTGAGGGCTTAAACTTGGAATGGCAGTGTTTTCCTTCAGTTTTGGTCCAGTGAGTAAGTAAAGGAGGGTGTAAGCTGTGAGCAGTAGACTAGCAGTGGTGTATCAAACAACATTATTCACAGCTGGAAGCTCCTGCTGATGCTGAGGAACTCAGGGTGGTTGGCAGCTCCTTTGAATGCTTCTCCCTTAGTATCTGCCTACCTGCCTTTCCTTCACCCCAGCTTTCTTCTCATCTCCACCAGCACAGCAGCCACCTGTAGTGGGGCAGAGCAGAAAGCGATGGCAGCTGGTTCTGCTGGATGAGCCAGCAAGGGAAAAACAGCAGTCCTGAGAGCTGGGGAGACTTCTAATCCTAAAAACAGGGGAAGGGTATGCCAAGTAACTCTGGGGACTGCCAGAAGACGACTCAAAAAAAGACTGGAGTGTTGGGATAATGGGGAGTGGCAAGAGAGGTGGAGTTGGAAATGCAGGCAGGGGAATGCATTCCTTATCTTTGGTCCATCTGCCTGTGTTGCTTGCTGGGTTGCAATGTAACCAATCTAGAGAGAGCAGGTCCTCGAGCCCTCAGGTCCCCTGTTTCAAACAGGAGAAGTTTTTGTCACTGAAGGGCGTGGCCCCTCGAAACTTTGTCCCACGTTCAAGTTCATTGAACGAAATGCCAGTTCTGCCATTACCTGGGCAGTTAATAAAATCTATTGCCTTAGGATGGATTTTTTTCTGCAGGCAGAATGGATCTGTCTTCATTATGATTTGTGAGATTGAGGGGAAAACACAAAGTATAATCTGTATTTCTACTGCACTGAAAAATTTCACTAGGTTCTCCTTTTAAGGCTTGGAAGTAGCCAAAACTGCAGAGGTCATTTTTTTGATTTATTGCAAACAAAGCATACCTTATTAACATTTTAATAAAGAGAAGCTCTTTGCAGTGGTGCTCAGAGTTGCTCTTATTTCTCTCTGTGCAATTCCATTTTCTCAAAGGGAAAATACCATCAAGATCTGCAAGGCAGGATGTGTTAGACTGAAACTAAACACACAAATACACCAAAGCAAAATGCTTTCTAAAGGTGCTGTGTTTGTGAGAGGTGCTTGCCCAATATGTGTGATGCAAAATGGGGATGCTTTGTGAAGAAATCATCCTTGTAAAGCCATTGGTTCTGGTCATCAGACTCTATCCAATGCTTTAGTGATGATGCTGCTGATCTATTTGGGAAGTTGGCTGGCTCTCAAGGCAGAGTCTCTTCTCAAAGGCTGTTTCACAGTGAAAATATGCTCAGTGCAGCCGAGTGCATGAATGAAAAAGCCTCTGGTACCTTCTAGTCTGGCAAAATGCAGCACAAAACTCAACTTACTCTGTCTTTTCTGCTGTCCCAGGTAAGAAATGTGTGTTTTTTCCTTGCTTTCTTTCATCTTTCTGCTTTTGTGCATTTGGATTTGAAAGTATTTGTGATTCAGGTCTGATTTCTGAGTAATTATACATTGCTTGAATTACTGTTTAAAGATGCAGGATCTCTGCTCTAAGCCAGTTGCTAGGAATGTAGAATCTCGTAGTTCCTTGATTTACAATTACAACCAATTTGCCGTGTGATATATAGCATTTTTCTGTTTCCCTTCAGGAAAGGTGGTGGGGGGAATCTTTCAAGTGTCTCGGTTGCAGCTGCAGCAGCGATATTTTCTGTCATATCAAATGCTGCAACTTTGATTTGCCTCTCTCCTCTGTGGCTTTTGCCGGCTAGAAGGCTGTTACAGGCAGCCTACGTTATTTATTGCCTTTTTTTTTATATATATAAAAAGAAGAGGAGGGGGGAATATGGAGGAAAAATAAAATCAGACCTTGCAAGAGGTTTCCCTTCCCCGTACTCTCCTGGTAGACGTGTAATACTCCGTTAGTGACTCGCTATGTAGCCTCTCTCTTATTAAATGTAACAGATCCCCCTCTGCCAGAAAGCAGAGGAAAAAACACCCAGCATTAAAAACACGGAGCTGCCGAAGCCCCGCTGCTGCTGCCTGTCAAAGCACGGCGGCTCGCTGGGCTCTGACTTCTCAACACCTCCCGGCTGCTCCTTTCCTCCTGCCGCTGTTAACAGGGCTCACTTTTTGGGAAGCTCAGAGGAGGTTTGGAAATCCTTTGTTGTCCAGCTTAAGTGCATCCTTCCTTCTTTTGTCTTAGGGGCTCTGTAAACTCTTGTGCTTAGTGATAGTGGTGCTGATATCCTGAGCGGGGATAAAAGTTAATTCCTTTTTGCCTCGCGAGCGGGTGGTTTTGTTAACCCTTAGGGGGTTGGTGGGTTTTGGAGTGTCAAACTAGCGCTTGGGACGCTGAGCCCGAGCCCTCGTGTCCGTGTAACTGCAGTCTCCAGCGGGCATTTGGTCTGCTGTTCCAAAATGGGATGATAAGGCGAAAAATGGTGAGGGATCATCACTGGGAGAGCTTTGTTGCCGAGAGGAGCCACACAGTGTGGAAGGAGGAGGCAGCAGGGTGAACTGCATGCTGTGGATCAGGGGTAGGGTGTTTAGGTCCTGGTTTAACCTGATAAAGAGTACACACATGACCGTGGGTGGCTGGAGTTATGGGACAGCAGGAGACTCGGTGACTGGGGATCTGCTGTGAGCAAGCACAAAGGCATTTGGGTGGGTTTGGGAGAACAGTCCTGCTCCAGGGAGTGGAACAAATGAAAGCAGCTGCTTTGGGCCATGGATATGGTGCAGAGCAGCGTGTGCTGGTGACACACACAGGGCTCCTTGCAGGGCCACTCTGCCTGCCTGGGCTGGGGCTCTGTGGCTCTGTCCCAGGGCTGCCCCGTGGGCAGCTTGCCAGCTCTGCTGGGACTGGCTGAACTGCTGCTCCTGGGAGGGCTGGGGAGACCCAGAGGGCTCCTGGGGAGGAGAAGTTGTCACAAGTGGGCAGGGATCCAGCCTGGGCAGGCAGCTGGGCTGGCAAAGCTGCCAGTGAGAAGCAAAGCTCAGGGAGCAGAGGGGCTGGGGGAGAGGGCACAGACAGTGCAAAGGTAACCTGTGGATGTACTGAACTGGTGCTCTCTCAGTTTGGCCTGAAGACCTCCCATCTGGTTTCCTTGGCTTTCTCTGTTTTTAGTGCAGTTTTTTTTTGGTACAGCTTCTCTAGCACACCACTGAATTAATCAGCTTGACTTTGGATTTTCTTCAGCGGCCCCTTGTAGTGAAAGCAATATGTGTGTGACAGAACAGGACAGTTTTTTAAGGCCTATTAAACATAGCTGCATTTTTTTAACACTAATATCTACTTAAAATTTGACAAGGTGCAGACACCTGATTGTGAGAGCAGCTGTGCAGTTTATTGATAACTTTCAACCATACTTCAGAGTTTCTTCCCTTGCGGGGCTGAGTTCTAATGTAATGCAGGGCTGAGCTTGTGGTGCTTCAGCACTGCTTTAAGTGCTTAAACTGCGCTCCACCTTCTTTATTAGCATATACAGCTCTATCTGGCAATGTCTCTACCTTGTGACTTAAAGCATCTCCAAGTTTACCTTATAGATCATGTCTAAGAGTTAATGAATTGGGGAATGAATCAGACTGTAATATGGAAGTATATATAATTCTGCCTTCAGGTATAGGCTGAGTATTGGCAGGTTAAAGCATGAGTTGAAGTTGATGGCATGTGAGGGAGAGAAATGAGAATTACTGAAAGGCTGCTTGGCTTTCCTCGTTGACACACCACACACCCAACTTTCATGTGACAGGAAAAGTAAACAGAAGAATGTGAGAAACAACATATTAAACAAATGCAGCCATCTGGCTCTGTAGTGGTTGTAACACAGTGGGGCATCTTTTTCTGCAGGTTTTCTTTTTCCCTCTCTTAGGAGTAGCAAGAATGTCTCATATAATGCAATGCTGGTGGAACCAGAAAGGCTCAATTTTGATAACGTTCTTTCTGAGCAGCAGCCATCTAGTAATGCCATACTCTCTGGGGAAGAAGACAGGAGCAAGTTAATGATAGCAAAATTTACAGTGTAGAAAAAAGTTTGAGGAAATTCTTATGTTAGTAAGAATATGGACTATAAGAGGTTCATTTTTTACCAGTAGATCATGTCTAAAATTAGTAGTTCTGGTTTTGTGTCGTCTTGGTCTGCATCTAATTCAACTGCACTTTTAAGTATGACATTTTCCTTTTGAGGCATTAAAAGGATGAGAAATCACTTTTTCATCTCAACAAAGCAGCCCATCAATTACGTTTGTAAAAACTGTGGTAGAGAAGGGCAACAAATTGTTTTTTTCCCTTTTGCAAAGATTTAGTCTACACTACTACTGCCAACTGTTTGTCCTTATTTCACCAGGACCTGGAAAACTGAACATTAGATGGAGTAGTAACTGAGGAAGATGTTTCAAGTAATCCTTTAGTTCAGACTCACCTTTAAAACTCCAAAACATAACTATAATATACAGCTTTATTGATCTGAAGCTGACAATAAAAACTAAATGTACTCTGGTAGCTTATGCAGTTCCCTGTACAGGGTACAGTAAGCAGTAAATACGTACTCTGATCTGAGAGACTTAAAAATCTGTGTGTTTTCTGTTTTTCCCAAAGGATATTTTCTAAAGCCTCTATGCAAAATGCTTGTTTTAAAACAAATTTTTCACAGCCTTTCTCTTGCATGTTACGTATCTCGTGCAGACAGACAAATCAAAGTAAAATTTGTAAATCTTACAAGAGGAGGAAACCCCCCTACATTTTTGATAGCTTTAACTGTCATGTTTCAGTGGGTTGCAACTAAGTCAACTGGAAAAATGTATAGATTTTTATGAGCTTGCCATTAAAATGAAGAGAGAAAATTAGTCCTGAAACTCTTTCCCCTGATGCAGAGCCCACACTGCTGCATTCCTGAGCTTTCAGTTTTTCAGCTTTCTCCAGAAGAGGGCTCCATGCACAGCTTGAAAGGCAGCGCCCAGGTACGGAGAGCAAGAGAAATTTATCAGCTGGAAGAGAAACAACTTGTTCACACCGAGTCTGTTGGCATAACGTTACAGACTACACTCAGGTTCTGACCAAGTATTTCCCTGTTCTATCACACTGATTGTTTTGTATAAGAGTCTTTATTTTTTGGGAGTTCTAGAGAAATTGCTTAAAAAATGTTAGAACAAAGTCAGTTGCCAATTACTCTCTGTACTATTATTTGTACTGAAAAGCATTTTGTGAGCAGGCTGACACTTGGTTCCCGCACTCTCAGGCCATTACTTTTGGTTATGTTGTCAAAAATGATCTTCCATTTGCACATCTCATTCAAAAGATGGTGTTTCCCAAAACACAGAGCCATTCCAGCAGTTGGACTGTGCTATTTCTCAAATATTACCCAGAGGGAAAGGCTGGCACCTGGTGAGCCAGTGTGACTTTTGGCAACAGCTCTACCCTGTAAAAATACCCTTCCATAGGACCTGACCACAGTCCTTACTGCTAAGCAAGGAGCTTTGTTATAGGAGACAAGTGGAAACTGGTCATGGAAATGCTCCTGGAGTTGTGGCATTACAGTGAAAACCCACTCTGTGCACCCCCTGAAACTCAGTCTTTCAATTTAAGATGTAAGTCAGGCATTATGTTGGGACCTGCTTTCTGTTTCTGATGATCAAAAATCGAGAAAGGTTGTCCTAGCCCATGTGATATTTGCGCTGTGATCCACTGGGAGTTATTGACTTGATTTTTAGTGACCTGAGAGCTAGGAAATTAATATTCCTCAAAGCTATCTCCACGGAGCAGTGCAATAGGAACTATTAGAACTACATAGGTGGCAATGGTGGTGCCTCTTCAAGGAGACATCAAGTTCTGCCTTTTCCTTTTCTTCCTGTTTGTTGCTGCATAAGTAGGCTCTTCCCATTCTATCAATATGTAAGAACAAGGTAAATAAGAGCTCTCAGTGTAAGACTCTTCCTGAATTGCTGCTGGAGTCACATCTCTGACCTTCAGCTGCTGGGTTGGACCAATGTGCTTCGTGTCAGGATTTTGGCCTCAAGTTTCAGAGTTCTTCTGTCAGCATAAGCCTTTAGGAAGGAGGAGGGGCTTCATCTGGGACTTGAAGCAGAAAGGTCAGGTTAGTGAGTTTAATTGTTTGGTGGAAATAATTTCTTGATTCCATCTTCGGTAGCTACAAGCACAAAATTCACTGATATTCCAACCAAAGCTTCATCTGTGCAGGCAATAAAACAAATCTACCATGTCCACTGGGGAGGAGAGACAGAATGAGAAGGATTCATCATCCTTAGGAGGCTAAGTGGGCTACAGCACTTCCCAGTTAACTCTGGATGATATTAGTGGGTTCTTGATGGTGGCCATATGGTTGCACTGTGCCCTGCCCTAATCAGCAGATGGATGGGACCAGCCCAGGTGGGAGGTTGGGATTGCTGCA